ACACATGTACTCTACATACAAACACACTAGATTCACCACACACACAAAATCTATATGAGATATTAACTAAAGTGGGGGAAGCTGTTTAAGTTCAAGTGATTCAGATTTTTCACAATATGACAAAGTCTTGCTTGAAAAGTTCTAGAGTTATTGTAATGTGGGTAAGGGAAAGTTATAAATCTCAAAGGGAAGCTCCAGTAATGTGGATTTTTGGTCTCTTGTTTTAACTTTTAAAAACCTAACACTGAAGGCTGAAGTGATGACACAGAAGTTAAGAGCTCTGGTTGTTCTTCCAGAGGACCTAGGTTTAATTTCCAGCACCTACATGGCACCACACACCAGTCTCTAACTCCAATTCCAGGGCTTCTGACACCACAACACAGACATACAGATAAAACAACAATAAACATAAAATTAAACAAACAAGCAAACAAACAAAAACCATGAAACTGGTTAAAGGTGGAGTGGTGACTTCCATGGCTTAGAGCAATGTCTGTTCTTCCAGAGGAGCTGAGTTGGGTTCTATAAACCCACAAAACAGCTCACAACCATCTGTAATTCCATATGCAGGAGCTTCAATGCCCTCTTTTGGCCTTGGTAGTACACACATACACACACACACACAAACACCACACACACACACTCACACATGTGGGAGAGTTCATGCTTTTGTATACACACATAGCGTGCACACGTGCGCGCGCGCGCGCGCGCGCGCACACACACACACACACATATAATAAAATGGAATAAATCATTTAAAATATTCATTTAAGCTGAACACTTTAAGCATAAAGCATCTGAAGCTTACTTGGGGAACCACTTGGCATGCTCCTTCCAGGGATCATCTTCTTCTTCCCAGTTTCCCAAGCATTCACCACAGGAGAAACACTGCACAGTGTCCCTCTTACCTACAGATGCAGGAAAGGGATTGACTGACTGGCAATGGCACCAGCTGTGTCTTGGAGCTTATCATAATTGTACCAGAACAAGACAGACTCCAGCATGCCTGTTCTTTCTAGGGGCTATATAAGTGCCTTAGCACTCAGCTATACCCTCAGCCCACTGCTGGTACATTTAGGGAGTACAAATGAAGAAAAATTACACTTTATTTTATACACAGGCAAATATATGTCTGTATGTGTGTGTATGTATATGTACAGATAAATAGCAAACCAATAATGCTACACTAAATATATTAAAACAGAAGCAAAATTGTTACACTTGAAATCCAATGCAATTCATCTTATGTCTAATATAACACAGTTCATCAATGAGGGTTCATTAACAAAATACTGCCCACAAAATGAAACGTAAATTTTAAATGCCACAGAAACACCTCACAAAATGGAATCCACTTACCTGTAAAGAAAAAGCCAGCTGCTGACAGTACACGTGGTGATGTCCCATGGGCATAAAATGGCCAGTGCTCAAAGGACTCCAGCCTGGCCTCCTCTTCTTGGTATCTTGCTTTGCCACCTCTCAACATCGTCTCTGGACTCTTCACCCGGATATCATACTTGCCAATGTTACCAACATCTTTGCCCAGAAGGAACTCGCATTCTGGTCGTAATTTCTTGTGGCTCTCTATGGGAAGTTTCCTGAGGCTATTACCAAAGAGGATTAAGCTACAGCAAAAGCACTGAACCCCATGCTTCACGCCTGTGTAATAAAACCCAGCAGCTGCCATCTCCTGTGGGGTCCAAGATCTGAACGTGTCATAGGTCACAAAAGTCTTTAGTCGTTTGGCTTCACTGCGCATCTGTGAGTTAAAACCTTTCTTCATTTTCATCCGTGTTTTATGCTCTTCTTCTTCTTGGCTCTTTGCCAGCTGAACTGCATCCACCCCGAGACGAGCAGACAGCTCAGTGAGAGATTCATAATCAATCTCAGAAACTTGATCCTCAGAGGCCTCCCCAAGCTTGGCCATTTTCTCAAGGGGAAAGATGAGCAGTTGTTGGATGTTTGAGGTAGCTTTTATGTTCTTACGATGAGCACCATGACCAAAGCTTCACAGGGGAGAGGGTTTACTTCTGCTTCCAGGCATGGATCATCTGCAAGGGAAATCAGAGCATGAAGTCAAGGCCTGACAACGTTGGAAGCAAGAGGTAGTGCAGAGATCGTTGAGGGATGCTGCTCCCTGGCTTACTCTCCATGGCTTCTTACCTTGTTTTCTTTCTGTTTTTAATTATCTATTTATTTTGGTTTTTTTCAAGGTAAGGTTTCTCTGTGTAGCCCTGGAACTCATTCTGTAGACCTGGTTGGCCTCACAGTCAGAGATTTGCCTGCCTCAGCCTCCAGAATACTGGAATTAAAAGTTTGTGCCAGCTTGCCACACTTAGCCCAGGGATGGCACCACTGCCCTCTCACACCAATTCACAACCAAGATAAATTTTGCCCCGCCCCCTGACTGACACAGCCCAATCTGATGGAAGCAACTCTTGTTTCTGCCCTACAGGTTCTGGGATTAACAGGCCTGTGCCATACCTAACTAAAATGAGTCTTTCAAACTAAGCACACTCTGTTATCTGACACCTAGTGGAGGGTTCAGTCTTACAGAGGTGACACATTTGACGCCAACAATACATGGTAAAGAGCTCTTCTCACAACTGTACAAAATCCCCCAGCAATGGTTGCCTGGAGTTCTATCAATCCTCAGGCTTCTCAGCTCTTTGACTAGTTATTTTTACAGTTATCCCCTGATCCCTTCCCACCATCCCCCATATACACACTGACAGTCTCCTTAGCAATTATGAGACAAAGGTCATGTTCTTATCTATAGACACATGTACCCAACTCTAGCTTCCTGCTCCTTCTCTATACAGAAGGAGCTGGCCCTGACTTGACAGCCTAAAGCTTTGCTTAGCTACTTTCATTTTCCCTAGCATGGCTTGTAGTTACTTTTCTGTTGCTGGGATAAAATACTCTGACAAAAGCAGCTCACAGAAAAGAAGGCTTATTCTGGCTTACAGTCTGAAGATCTGTTCTTTATGGTGTCATGGTAGGCTTGGCCAGAGCAGGAAGCCAGCTGGTCACAGTACATCAGCAGCAAGGAAGCAAAGAAAGCGAGCAGGAAGTGGCTCCAGGATATAAAGTCTCCAGTGACCCACTCCCTCCACCACGCTCCACCTCTTAAAGGTTCCAAACTCTTACCCAGTAGCGCCACCAGATAAAAACCAAATTCTCAAACAATGAGCTGTTTGTGTGGACTTTTCACATTCAGATCACAGCATAATCCCAGACACAGTGTTCTCCACTAGTAACTGTATCTGAATACTTTCCTCCCAAACTCTTCCTTTGCTTCCTGAAAAATATTTATAATTCTTGTGTGTTTGTGTGTGTTAAAGTTTCTCTACTATGATGATACAACATCACCAATGCAACTTCCCCAAGGACAGGGTTTATTTTGCTCACAGTTTTGTTTAACTGTTATTCGACAAAAGTAGTAATGGCCTGAACTCATAGAGGGCAGGAACTTGGAGAAAGAGGCTGATGTAGAGGTCATGGAGGGGTGATACTTACTTGCCTGCGCCCTGTGGCTAGCTCAGCCTGGTTTCTTATTGAACACAGGACCACTAGCCCATGGGTAGCACCACCCACAGTAGGCTGGGTTCTCTCCCATTGATAACTAGTTAAGAAAAATGCCTTACAAACAGATCTTAAGGAAATACTTTCTCACTAAGGACACCTCCTCTCTGATGACTCTAGATGTGTCAAGTTAACATGAAACTAGCCAGCACACACACCAGGTCATAGAGAGAAACTAAAGGACAGTTTGTGGGAGTCGATTCTTTCCATCCATCCTCTGTGTTCCACATAGCAAACTCAGGGCACTAAGTTGGTGACAGTTACCTTGATGCACCGAGACATCTTCCTGGTCCAGCCTCTTTGTTTGTTGTTTGTTTGCTTGTTTTTTGCTTTGTTTTCTAACACAGGATCTCACAGTAGCCCTTTAATGGAAACAGGAAGAAGATATGTGAGGAAGTAGACATTAAACTGCAGAAGCAGGGGAGCCACCACTTAGTGCTGAAGGTTATAGCACCTACAGATTTGTCAGGACCTCAGAGGAGTAATAAAACCTCTTAAGTATTTCATTTTGAATAGTTTGGGATCTAATTAACACTGTGTGATCCGGTAAAACTTTTCTTTAATGCTGAATGTTCCTTTCTTTCTGGTATCTTTTTCTTTTGAACAGGATGTCAGGCCAGGTTCAAGCTCACAGGTTCCTTCTGGCCTCAGCTTCTTGAATGCAAGAATTACAGGCACTAGCCAGCACATCTTGAGCTTCTGAATATTTTTTGAGATCCTTCTCTCATCTTTAGCAATATAAATCCCCCCAACAAAAGAGAAAGAAATACAAATTCCCCAAACATTAAGTTCAGGTGTTTCTGTTGCCACTGTATGAGATACTTAGTAACCTTTTCATTCATACATTTGGGTCTCTCATCAGTCTAGGAAATTATCTTCTATCATTTATTTAATAATTCTCTATTCTTTCTCTTTGGTATTTCCATCTTCTAGATGGAAATTAGTTGATCAGTTTTCATCTCACCTCTTTGTTTCTCACATATTTTTAATGTTTTACTAATCTTGAGTATGTTAGACAAGTACTCTTCCACTGAGAAACATCTCCCAGCCTAGCTATTTATTTATTTCAAGAGAGTTACTGAGGCTGGCTTTGAACTTGATCACACACACACACACACACACACACATACACACACACATATACACACACACACACTTGTTAAGGCCTAGGTAAAATACTAAGGCCTACAGAGAATGTTATGGCCTAGATAAAATGTTAATGCCTAGGCAACTGTTACCTGGATAGCCTGTCATTTTGTGCTTTTACTAATATTCTAAGGAATCTTTGACATATGTTGTATCTGCTGTTACTAGGAAACTTCCTCATGCCAAAATGATTATATATTTTGTTGGGTTTTGTGCCCTTGGAAATTTAATCATGATAGAAGTCAGGAGAACTGTTTTGTACATTTACTCACGATGAGCTTGGACCCAAATCAACCACCCAGCATCACTTCCTGCACCTATGTCTAAGCTTTTATGGTATAAGCTGCTCCTGGATGAACCCCAATATAAGAGAGACACCTTCACCAATATAAGAAATGTTTAGAATAAGATTTCCATTTTGAGTAGTGGCTGAGTAAAGTTTAAGGTCCCAAGACCTCCTTGGAAACTGACATCCTACTTGACAGAAAGAGGCATGTACATGGGCAACTGACATCCTGGTTGGCAAATTAAGACATAAATGTTAGGCAAGGCAAATCCCCTGCCACAGTTGCATACCCCAACCAGCGGGAGCAGGATAAGTGTACAACAAAGACATTTTCCTAAGGAGATCCCCTGATCCCTAAATCCTGATTGATGGAGTAGCTTGGCATTCAATAAATCATCCCTAGTTGCCTGAAATCAGTGTCTGAGTGGTTTGTGAAGCAATTTCCAGACCCCAACAACAATCTCTCTCTCTCTCTCACACACACACACACACAAATTTAGTAAAGTACCTTATAGGCTATGGTCTTTGTAGCCCCAAAATGGCTATCTTCCAATGAAAATGCAGAAAATCTGCTACTTGTTCAGGTCACAAAACTAAATGTCTCAGTAAATTCACTCTTGTGCTGAAGTCACAGAGAATTCCTAGAGTTCTATCTGCTAGTCTTCAGTCTACATTGATTGATGGAGAAGTAGGTTGTAATACCATGCTAACACATGCCTCAGCAACAGGACACATGAACTTGTCAATGAGAGTAAGAGCGAGCAGGCAAAAGGCAAAGGAGTCCTTCTTCCATGTTCTTTTATGTGGGCTGCCACCAGAAGGTTCCAGATTTAGGGTGAGTCTTTTGACCTCAAATTATCTTGATTCAGTGTGGGCCTTCCTGCTTCAAAGAATCCAATCAAGAAAATCTTTCTCTGACTAGCTACTTGCGGTTTGGTTTAATCCAGATGTGCTCAAGTTGATAACCAAAATTTGACACCAGAGGACTTGAACTTGATATAGAGTGTCTTGAATTCCTAATCTTTCTGCCCTATTGGGATTATCCACTTCCAGGCATACACCACACCTGGCTTCTTATAACATTTTTAGATTTTGGTAAGTTAATTAATTTCCCACAATTCTTTCTTGTTCTCTGACTGTTACTTAGTTTTATAACATATAATCTGTGCACATATATAGGTACAGATGTTCATACATCCATATTAGAGACAACAGGTAAACAGTGTGTGCCTTTCTTGGCCACTTTCCATCCATTCTGTGAGACAGGGTATCTCACTGAACCTGGAGTTCACCATCTCAGCTAAACCCACTGATCACATGCTCAACTGGTCAGCCTGTCTTTACCTCCTCAGTGTTACAACACTGGGATAATATCCTGCACTGTTTTCTTCATGTGTTGGGCTGTAGGACATCCTGAGGTGTTCGACCACACCCCCAGAACCCAGAGATCTCCATTTCATCTATACGGTGAGTCACATAAGGCACAGGTAAAGGGCATGACTAATAGGCCTCTGCCTCGATCTAAAGGCCGGGAGGCATAGATAACTAAGTTTTCATCTCCCTAGCCCCTCCTCTTTCCCGCTCCCCATATAAGAAAGCTCCTCCTGGCATCTGGTGGGGGAACATTCACATCTAGATACAACTATCATCATGACCAATAAAACTTCCATGTCTTCAATTCCATGTGTCTCCTGGAATTTTGGACCTTCTTGTGTAAGTGGGAAACTAGCCTGTGGGAAAAGCCTCTCTGCTCTCCCTGTTGCAGCAGTCCTCGGGGCTCCCTCCCCCGCAGCCACACCCTGGGGGCTGCCTCCGTCCCTGCTCTGGGTACTCCCTCTCCCGCTGCCAGGCCACGATGGGTCCCTGTGCAACTGTAGCATGCAGGCAGGGCCGAACAGCCAGCCCAACAC